CTGCTACTGGAAGAACAGAGACTAAAATCTGAGTTTCCTACGGCCTGACCTGGCTGCCTACTCCACATCCTTCCTGAAGGCTAAGACTGAATGTGAACCAAGCTGAGCTCGTGAGGGTCCCTCAGCAAACCTGCTCCTCCTCCAGATCTGCCTGTGGATGACAGTCACCATTCCTGTGGAGTAAAGAACCTGGCCTTGCCCAAAGCGAGGTCTGAATTTTGCCCACGATGCTGGCATGTCATCCAGGTCATACCTGATGGGCATCTGTGTTCAGGACACGGGCTGGCCAACCCAGCCTCACGTGGTGGGCCAGAAAGACCAGCATGCAATTTAGCGTGGAGTTGAGATGACCACACAAGCAATTACAGGCTATCGGTCACTCAGACGTGCTGCAATAAAAACGCCATGTGAGCTTCCCTTGTGGGAAATACAAGTAGCCCTCCAGCATTTTGAAAGTTCACTTTATGCCATTTCACTTTTCTGAAAGACCTACATTAGTACCTATTTTCACTAGGTGAAAGAAATCTAAAGAAAACTGTCACTTTTATGAAGAAAGGCAAAAGGCAAAGACAATGTCAGAGTTGGTTCTGGAGTCAGCTGTTACAGAGGCAGTGTGCACCCTGAGCAGAGAGTGACACCACCCAGTTCTGCCCTAGGAACCACACTCAGGTCTCAGCATCCAGTCACCATGACCCGGACCTGGGTCTGAGGCATCTGTGCCCCATCTGGTTTATTCTGTGCCTCCGTGAGCAAGGCGGGCCCTCAGGTACTTGTTCCTTCCCTTTATGCTATTTCAGTTTAGGAGAGGTTTCCGAGCAACCCTCTAGTCTGGGATGGCAGGGAATCTGTACCCCACACATGTCGTCACACATGGAGGCCACAGGGTGATGGATCCAAAGGACAACAGGCACCTAACATCTGGAATCTTCCCAGATTCTGTCTTATGCACCTCTCAAGAGGCTGATTTTAATCTGTCTTCTTTACCTGTAATAGATGTTAAGTGAAGTGAAGTTGCTCAGTTGTGTCTGACTCTGGGCGATCCCATGGACTGTTGCCCACCAGGCTCCTCTGTCCATGGGATTTCCCAGGAAAGAGTACTAGAGTCGGTTGCCATTCCCTTCTCCAGGAGATCTTCCCAACCCATGGATAGAATCTGGGTCTCCTGCATTGCGGGCAGACACTTCACATTCTGAGCCACCAGGGAAGCCCTTGGTAGCCATGGATATAATTGATTACAGTGAGTTCTGTGCATCCTTCCAGAGAATTAGCAAAGCTGAGGGTGGTTTTAGGAACCCTCACCAAACAGTTTGAGGTTGGTTTCAAAGGTGAGAAGGGTGCTCCCTGAAGTCTGCAGTTGGGCCAACTCCCGGAGCATCCTCCTTTCCTCCCCGTCTCAGCCCCTCCACGTCTGCCCTGTCAGAAATCCCCGCCCGCTCTCTCCCCAAACCCCGGGCAGGATCTCCCCACTGCTGCAACCATCCCGTCGTCTGCTCTGGGTGACTGCAAGAGCTCCTAACAGACCTCAAGTTTCTAGCCTGACCACCACAGAGTCAACTCTCAACACACCATCTAGGGATCTTTGCCAAGCGTCAGAGCACGTTACTCCCTGAGCAAAGGCCCTCAGCAACTCCCGCTCCCAGAGGATGAGCAGCAGAGTCCTGCCAATGCCCCCAGGCCCTGCTCAGGCAGCTGCGACCCCCTCTCTGCCCCGTGGCTGGGCCCAGCCCCTCCACTCCAGCCCCCCGCCGCCCTCGCTTTGTCCTGAAGGCCCCAGAAGCACTCCCACCCCGGGCTCACCAGCCTTTCCTCCGGGTAGAGAACACTGCTGCCCTCCCCTCACACACACAGCTGGGCTCCCTGCCTCCTCCAAGCATCTCCTCATCCTGCCTTCTCACAGGGTCACACCCCAAAATGGCCTAGTCTTTCCTTTCTTTCTCTGCTCTCCTAACCCCCTACGAAGAACCAATAAATTGAAGAAACTTCAGAATCTGTTTTGTCTGGGAAAGATATCCTGGCTACTATGAAGATTTGTGATTTCACTGATGGTTCTCAGTCATGTTCGAAATAAGGAGCCAACAAACTACTGAGGGCTCATGTGTGTAAATAAAGTTTCACTGGCACTCAGTCATGCCCTTCGGTTTATGCATTGACTGTGATTTACTGTAGAGCCACAGGAGAGCTGAGCACTGCTACACGGGCTACTTGGTCCCCTAGCCTGAAATACTATCTACTCTTTAAGAAAAGTTTGCTGATCTCTATTCTAGGTAATTTAGATTTACAGACAAGGGACCCCACACACTGACAAAGCAAATTCACATAACTAGATCTGGCTTGATTTAAAAAGCCAAAAATGACTTTAAAAATGTATTTAATAGCTAAAATAAATAACAATACCACTAGAACACATTCTTTCAACAACTGGAAAACACAGGGCCTCTCCCAGCTGACAAGGAAAAGGTCACATCTCTTCCAGCAGTGACAATAACTCAGGAACAAGTTGATAAGGGCTCACAGTGTCCAGTATGCAAAGAGGATCACACAGGTGAGAAGGAAGTCCAACAGTTACCCTGAAACCACTACTTTGACAGCAGTTGTATTGCGTTGCGGTTACAAGTGCATGATGCATGTCCTGTATGCAGGGAGAGCTTACAAGGCGAGGACACTACTCAGCAAACAGAGCTCTAGGGCTTCTGCAAACAACAGATTTAGCAGTGACAGCCAGTTACATGAGTTCCTGTAGACGGACTTTGTGAAATTGAAGACCACCTCTGAGCCAGGGCTATGGTAGACTTCTTATCACACTGTTAATTGTATCACAGGTGGATTTAGGAATCACTTAAGAAACCCCAACTCATAATATTAATTCACTAAGTGTTTTTCTTCTCTAAATCTAAAGTTAGTATCTACAGATGGAATTGTATCTGCAACCCAGTGCCTCTTATTCCTGAATTCATAGTGATAATTTTGCAAATGTGAAACTTAATTATGTGGGTTTCCCTCATCAAAATAGAATTGGTTCCTTAAAGTCTACCGAGGGTGCTGTTAGCTGTCAGGTTACCCTGTGACGGATGTTTCCACCTCTTTCTCCAACCTCCACTCTGTCATCAGTGTACTTTATAGTAAACACAGTGGAACCAGAGCCCTAAAGTCCTGCTGATATAAAGTCCTTCAGCTTTAATTGTACAAAAGCATCTACTCTTGGCCACATTAGCCACGGAGTGAGGTCACATTAATTCAGGAATCTGAGAGTAATGATTTTGTTTTTTCTTAAATCTTTAGAGAGCAAATCAAAGCAAGGTTACAGTGGGAAGGAGAAAGTGGTTTCTTATGGTATTCTTTGGTTTTTTTCATTTTTATTTTTAAAGACCACTTCACAAGATGCAGCTTCTGCAGAAATCAACATGACAAATGACAAGTCTTAGGAGTCTTATGTTGGTAGGAATCTGATTCTGTTTCCTTTTTGGGAATGAATTGGGCGGCATACAGGCACAAAAAGACAGAAGTTTGAAATCTTCGGTTCTAAGGTTTTTTTTTAACTGATTCCCAACTCACTGTTTATCCTAGGGATCTTAAAATAATTTCCCCACAGAAATTATTTTATTACTGCTTCCACAGCAAATGCATGTTTTTTCTAATTCATTGGTCTTCAGGAATTGAGGTTTTATGCTGTCTCACTTTAATTTTTAAAGCCCACTTATTATCTCTGAAATCTTTCTGTTTGCTCGGTTCTGGCTGTTTTTGGAGTCACACTGATTATTGTGATCAGGCCCACAACCTGACCCAGGAGAGGCAGGCCTTCTTTTTCAGTCTTTTTCAGTGTTCCATGCACATGCACAGGCTCTTTGGCATACTTAGGTGTTTGTGTGTATGTGTTAGTCGCTCAGTCCTGTCCAACACTTTGCAACCCCATAGATGTAGCCCACCAGTCTCCTCTGTTCATGGGATTCTCCAGGCAAGGATACTGGAGTGGGTTGCCATTCCCTTCTCCATAGGATCTTCCCAACCCAGGGATCAAACCAGGGTCTCCCACATGGCAGGTAGATTCTTTACCATTTGAATCACCAGGAAAGACTATTAAATGTTTAGTTGAATAAATGAAGAAACTTAAGAATGCTGCTAGGAAAAAAAAAAATCAAGATCTATTTTAACAATGATAAATGTCTTCCATTAACAGGGACAAATGTTTTCCAAAATGAAATTTTTTAATGTATTAAAAAATATACAAAAACTTACTAAGTTTATAAAAACATAAGGAAAAAGAATTAAGAAAGAACTCATTAGAAATTCCCTGGTGGTCCAATGATTAGGATTCCATGCTCTCACAGCTGAAGGCCTGGGTTCGATCCCTGATCAGAGTACTAAAATGCCACAAGCTGCCCAGCATGGCAAAGAAAGGGAAGGAAAGAGAGACTGAAGGAGGGAAGCAGGGAGAAAAAAAGAAGAGAGACAGAGAAAGAAAAAAAGAAAGAACTTGTTGACAAAGATTAATTCAAAGTTTTAAAGACTGATGCAACAAATCTGAAAAGAGATGCAGACAAGGATTTTTCATCAAAGTGTTGTTTACAAAAATGGAAAAACTGCACAACATAAATGTCCAAGTAGCCATCACTAGAAGACCAGCCAAATAAATTGTTACATCCTAAGAAGGGAATGCAATATACACAAAAATGATGCATCTGTCCTGAAGAGATGCCTGCAATGTGTCAACCAGTGATTACCAAAAATCACATGAAAAGTAATCACATCTATGTAAAATTACAACACAGAGGGTATATGGGAGAAGGGGCTTTCTGCAAATATTTGAGCACATTAAAATAAAAAATATCTAGATAGAACAATGCAGTGGTTATTGATTGTTGGTGATATAAAAGGTAGCTTGCTCTTTTAAGATTTTCTTGATTTTCTTTCTTGGACTTTTATTAATGAGCCCTTATTACTATTATCATTATCATTATAATAATGTTGTTTCCACTTTCAGGAAAAGAAAAATCAAAACTTACCCAACTAAAAGAAGAAGTGCACAAATCACAACAAATCCCAAAGTATACTTGAGTGCCATTTTAACTTGCTAGATGTGAAAGGAGAAAAAACATTCCATTTAGTAAAACTTTTAAAATATAAAGTATTCTTGCTACAGTGTAACAGTACTTTCATGTCCAATGTATATTTATTTATATTCCACTGTGCAAAGTTCCTCTTTATTGAAAAACAATGTATATAACGCATCTTAAGTATCTTTCACACTACACTAGATTTTTTAAATCTTTTCAATGATTAGATCTCATGAAAAGGCAGTACACCTAAAATATAATTAATTCTTTGTGGGAGACTTAACAGAAATTAATTTACTTTAATAAGTACCAGAATATTTAATAAAATATTCCTCAAAATAAGAGAGCAATCAGAATCTACAATGCCCAATTCATCAAAATGGGTTAAGTAATAATTAAGCAACAATTATAATATTTAATTTATGTATGCTTGGATATACATATAATATATAAAACATATACTTATAAAAATTTATTTTATAAATATGCATACATATATATAAGGTACATGCCATGCCAGGACTGTTTCTAAGAACTGTACATATGTTAAATTCATTTCATACTTACAACACCCCTGAGATAGGCATTCCCATCCCTCCTTCAGAGATAAGGAAACTGTGGCCCAGAGGTTAAACAGTTTACCATATGTCACATACGTGCGAAGGGATTAAACAAGGACTTGAAACCAAGAACTCAGTTCTTTAAATTCTGTGCTTTGCTTGGTACACATAATATAAGCCAAAGTTTAACAAAAACACAAACTAGACACTCTAAATATATGGAAAGAAAAGTTAATCTCAAAGGAAAAGCTACATCAGCGAGCAAAGAAAACATGACTTGTCTCTAGGCCTAATGAGATCTCTAAAATAATCACCTTTTAAAATTTAACTGTTGCTTCACATGATAAATTCGTATTCACAAAGGAGTTGAGACAGTCTTTAGGAAAATACCTAAGGTAAAGTTAAGGAGGGTCAACCACAGGGGATGGGGAAGACGCACTTGAGAAGCAGTGAAGAGAGGAAGCACCTGCCCAGCCCGTTTTCTTTTTTTAATTTTTTTTTCTTTTTTTTTTCCCCATTTATTTTTATTAGTTGGAGGCTAATTACTTTACATCATTGCAGTGGTTTTTGTCATACATTGAAATGAATCAGCCATGGATTTACATGTATTCCGCATCCCGGTCCCCTCTCCCACCTCCCTCTCCACCCGATCCCTCTGGGTCTTCCCAGTGCACCAGGCCCGAGCACTTGTCTCATGCATCCCACCTGGGCTGGTGATCTGTTTCACCCTAGATAATATACATATTTCGATGCTGTTCTCTTGAAACATCCCACCCTCGCCTTCTCTCAGCCCGTTTTCAACAGCAGATGCGTGACCAGCCACTCTACCTTACACACCCTGGGTCTTCAAATACAGAATCTCACACGATCTGCAGATAATAACCCAACTTTCTTTACAAATATTTAAACACTTTTTCCTCTAACAAATTGAACTGACTACCACTCTGGGAATCATTTAAAATATTGCTGATGTACTCTGCTAATGATCTTAATGCAAATGCTGTAAAGTTTTAATAAGCACGGCTATGTCTAATGCTGGCTTTTGAGTGAATATGTTTGCTTGCGTATTTAAATATTACAAACCAAAAACAAGTTATAGAACAAATTCCTGTAACTCAATAAAAAGACAAAATAAATTTATTCTTTTTATGCTGTTTTTCCCTTAAACTAGAAATAAAGTGTTCGATTTAGGCAAACACCTTTCAACATACAATTTCTTCTAGGACCTATTAAATTACTATATACTAACAAAAGTGCTGGTTCTAAACCACCAATGCATTCCAGAGACAGGCCCAACTCAGTTATATACTATATTAATGTGCTTCTAAGATCTTCCTGAAATCTACATGCCAAGGTTTCAGTGAAGAGTTTTATACCAAGACTTAAGTGACCTCGTCTGCAGGTCTGGACATGCACGTGCACTCTACTGATCAGGTTTCTGTACTACTGTGGGATCAGTAAGGACAGTCTGCGAGTCCCCCTTTCCATCCGAGAACGCGTCAGCAAACCGCATCCTGCGGGCCATACGCGGCCCCTCCTACCGCACGTCGCACCCACTCAGCACGGGCCTCACACAGAAGTGCGTGTGCTGGCCCAGCTGCAGAACTGCTGGAGAACAGCCACAGTACCCTGTGACTCTTGGGCTCTGGAATGTAGTTAGTTTGACCCGGGGTGTGCTGCAGGTGTAAAATGCACTCTAAATTTCACAGAATGTGAAAAAGAGTAACGTCTCATTAATAACATTTTTGACTATCTGAAATAATACTTGAACATATATTAAATACAATGTGTCATGAAAAATAATTTTAATTGTTTAAGTTTAATTGTTTAAGTTAAAAAATAACTTATTTTATTGTGGCTACTAGAAAATTTTAAATTCACATGTGGATTACATTATATTTCATATATATTATATATATTCATATATATATATTCACATTATATTCATATATATTATATATATTACATTATACTTCCATTAGACAACACTGCTTGAGAATTAATTCAAGGTCACATTATTTGAAAACAGGAGGAAATAATCCCTTACTCCCAAATTGAGACCTCTAAAATAAAGCTACTTACAGTGCATTTACCAGTATCATCATCATCCTTTTCTTCATAGTAGAAGTAGACAAAAGGGATCCAGAAGAACACACAGAATAATATAACAGAATATAAGGCTGTAGAAAGAATGAGATGAGATATAATAAAAACATAGGAACTTAACAAACGTTTCAAACATATAGGTACACACACCCCAGCTTCACTCATCTCTATCTGACCCCTAGACCTGCAACTTGATATGTATGTGTAATATCCAAATCAACCTTTTCTGACCCCTGTTTCAAGAAATCAACACCATTATTATCACATAGCAAATCATAATTCAAGTTAACGTTGGGGCAATTTTTAGCAATAATCATGATACTAAATATGTCGATAAATTGTGGCCTCTAACATCTCAGGTCTTACGATGTACACACCACAGCACTAAGAACTTTCTGTGAACGACCTTATGTAAATAAACTAACTTTTATATTCTTTCCAACTTAATACTGAGTACAGCTGACACATTTACCAGTCACTCAAGTTAAAGAAACAGCTGTAACTAATACGATTCTTTTGTTACAAATAATTTCCCCAACCTATGTCTAAAAGGAGTAGACAGGAGCAGGGGAGGAGATGGTTAGACGGTATCATCCACTCAATGAGCACAAATCTGAGCAAACTCCAGATGAAGAAGGACAGGGAAGCCTGGCATACTGCAGTCCATGGCGTCATGACAAGTCGAACACAACCCAGAGACTGAGCAACAAAGTTTAAAATATGCACTGTTATGAACTGATCTTATAAAAAAATTAGGGTAGAGAAATTGTAAGAAACAGTAAAATCAGATACAAAGTTAACTGATATGAACTTCTATTTATCTGCTTTAAAATAACATTTGATTTGAGATACTATCAACCAGTAGTCAAAGTATTGCTTTTAATTCAGCATAGAACTTGAAATTTCAACAGCTATAGATACAGTACGTAAAACAAAAACAACATAAACAATTTTTCAGACTCAAGAAACCTAAGAAATCTGTGTATTTACATTTATTTTCATACATTATTTCATGGGAAATAGTGACTATGCAATTATATAAAGGAACCACAGGATGAGAATCATTTTACTCCTTTATCCAAAAAAGTATTATTAAAAGTTTGTAAGTAATATATAATACTTAAAATAAATTATTAACAAATTAAAATAGCTACTTTTAATTACTAACAAATTAAAAGTATTGTTAGTAATGTATAATAAAGCTAAATTACTCATTCTCTTGGGAAGAATGACTATAAATTACAGAATTTTTAAACATGATATAAATACTAGCTAGCACTGTTTCATTTTTCTGGAAGTCACTTATGAAATAGCCCCCACTAAACGCAACATAGTTAAAAAAAAAAAAACTCAGAACAACCAGACTCTTAACTGATAGAAAGGTCAGAGTTAATTTATACTGCCCAATCACAGCATGACTGTCAGCACACTCAATTCTGGGGTTACAGATACTTTGTGAAATCTATGCAGCCTCTGAATATTGTAAGGTACTAAAAATGACAGCAAATATTTAAGGGTAATGAATACTGATGTTTCTACTATAAACCAGAGAGTAGCCAGAATTAACATTGTTATTACGGATCTAAGAGCCAGTGGAAATAAACAAGTATTCAAAAAAGTACCAAAATACTAGGTGGGCCATAAAGAAGGCTGAGCTCTGAAGAACTGATGCTTTTGAACTGTGGTGTTAGAGAAGACTCTTGAGAGTCCTGTGGACTGCAAGGAGACCCAACCAGTCAATCCCAAAGGAGATCAGTCCTGAATATTCACCGGAAGGACTGATGCTGAAGCTCCAATATTTGATCACCTGAGGCAAAGCGCCAACTCACTGGAAAAGACCCTGATGCTGGGAAAGACTGTAGGAGGAGAAGGGGACGACAGAGGCTGAGATGGCTGGATGGCATCACTGACTCAATGGGCGTGAGTTTGAGAAAGCTCTGGGAGTTGGTGAGGGACAGGGAGGCCTGGCGAGCTGCAGTCCACAGGGTGGCAAAGAGTCAGACAGAACTGAGTGACTGAACAACAGAAAGCTTCAAAAAATTAAACATAAAAGGGAAAGCACTATAAATCACCCTAAACACTGTGTCAGCATTAGGACTGAAATAATCAAATACTTTATTACGAATAGGAAAAACCCTCAATTGTCACGGCCCATTGGGCTGACAGCTGTACGCCAAGCTTGGTAAACTGGCGGGCGCAGTAAGGTCTGGCCTCGGCCTCCGCATGCCTGTGTCTACTACTTGGTGGCCCTGGCCTTAGCCACAGAGTGCAGTGGCTGCTTCATAAGCATTCCCAGTATTCAGGGGCCAGTAAGCATCGCGGACAAGGTGCTCATCAGTAATCCCTGGGCGCACAGACGCTGAAGCATCTGTCTGTAATGTGGGAGACCCAGGTCCAATCCCTGCGTCAGGAAGATCTCCTGGAGAAAGAAATGGGAACCCACTCCAGTATTCTTGCCTGGAAAATCCCACTGACGGAGGAGCATGGTAGGCTACAGTCCATGGGGTCACAAAGAGTCAGACACAACTGTGTGACTCCACTTTCTTTACTTTCATAATTATTAGTCATTAGGAAGATTCAAACTAAGCCCATAATGAGAGGCTATAGACCCCAGAATGGCTAAAATTAAACTGACAATACCACGTATTGACAAGAATGCAGAACATACTTCCCCATGCTTTTCAAGAGGGACTATAAACAGCAAAACCCTGCGGAGAACTGTCTAGCAGTTCCTCCCCAAGTTAACATATACCTACCACGTAACTAGACAGTTCCACTCCCCCGGCAATTCAGTGTAGCAACACAGGCAAAGTCTTTCTGCCCAGAGAAGCCTGCCTGAGTGGCAGAGTCCAGGGTTCTTAGTGGTGATGTATAATGCAGGCACAAGTGCCTGAGTGACCAATTAAGATTACCAGAAGTACAGACTCCAAGAAGGAAAGCAGCTGTATCACAAGTCACATACACAAACAATCTAAACAAGCTGGACTGCATGGTTCTGTATTCAACGGTATATATCCACTAATTAGTGAGTACTATCAGGTGACATCCAAGGGCCAGGTTTCCAGGTACTGGTCAAGGCTCACCCACATAAGCAGGTTCCCCCCTCAAGAAATGTGAGAAGGAAACAGTATCAAGTCTGATTCACAAGAAAGTTGACAGCAATATCATTAACAGTGATCAAAACCTGGAAATGACCCAAATGTCCAACAACAGGTGAACAGACAAACCAAGTGGTACAGGCATACAAATGGCAATGAGAAAGAAAAACCTATGAATACCTGTGACAAGGATGGACCTCACAGACCTTAGGCTGAATAAAAGTAGCACAGACACTGGAAGATGTACACCTTCTGAAAGTCGCTCAGTCGCATCCGACTCTTTGTGACTCCATGGATATATAGTCCATGGGATTCTCCAGGTCAGAATACTGGAGTGGGTAGCCTTTCCCTTCTCCAGGGGATCTTCCCAACCCAGGGATCAAACCCAGATCTCCTGCATTGAAGGCAGATTCTTTACCAGCTGAGCCACAGGGAAGCCTACACCTTCTAGTACCTTCTAGTACAGCTTAAAGAAGTTCCAGAACCTAGCAAAACTGGCTTATCATGACCCAAGTCAAAAAAGTATTTGGGGGCAGTTACTGACTTCCCTGGTGGCTCAGATGGTAAAGCGTCTGCCTACAATGTGGGAGACCCGGGTTCAATCCCTGGGTCGGGAAGATCTCCTGGAGAAGGAAATGGCAACCCACTCCAGTATTCTTGCCTGGAAAATCCCATGGACGGAGGAGCCTGGTGGGCTACAGTCCAAGGGGTTGCAAAGAGTCGGACATGACTGAGTGATTTCACTTCACTTTCACTGACTATAAAGAGACATGAAGATATACAGCAACCAAAAATCTCATACGTTGCTATAAGAATATCCAGAAAAAGTTTAGTGGGGACGACACATGGTTCTGAAGAGACTCTGGGATATTGGTCTGTCCAGGGCTGCTCTGACACCACATCCTCAGCCATTTATTGTAATTGGACTGCTCTTTTTCAGTGTCCTTCAAAAAGAGCTCTTCCTTTAGCATGTAAATGTTAAACTGTAAAGAAAGAAACTAAAAATACATTAACATTTTCATGTGCTTCAGATCAGTTTTAATGCCAAGTTGGTACTATATATCTATAAATTTTAAAAATGCTATCATGAAACAGAGAAACTGATTCTTTTAAAGTTACACTTCAAACTGATAGCTATTTTCAAAGGAAAATTATTCTTAACTCCAACAGGAATGACACTCTCAAATCCTGACATCTTTATAAAATACATTTTCCTTGTAATAGTTTTTGTTAAAAGATTGCTACTAACAAGTAAAAGATAAACAGACTTTTTGGTCTAATAGTCCCACTAATATCAAAGAAAACACACTAAAAATGAAATTTTACACTTCATGTCTACGGAAATTGGCAGAAATTAGACTCATAAAACAAGTTATTTTTTTAAAACAAAACTAGCAAAAACAAGAGAACAGAAAGCCGTCAACACTTAAAAAGCCAGACAAAAACTGTGGCAAAGAATACATGATAATTCTTATGATTTTTTAAATACACACAAACAACATATCTTTTGAAAACTGCATTTTTAAACTATAACTCACATAAGAATTAACTTGGACAAATCAGGCTTCAGAATTTCTAGACATTCTTTATTCCTCCTGACTACCAATGAGAAATCTGAGACATAGAATAGCTCAGTCAATATTGTAATAGTATAATTAATCATTACAAAGCTTTTTGTTTTAGAGGGTCAAAGAATTAAGATATTCTGGGAATTCTAAAAGCCTTCTAAAATTATCCCACTGGCCCAGCTGAAGCAATCTGGGGTCAAGACTGCCAGCTGCACACACACCACCCATTTTCCTTTCAGCTCACTCTCCTTTTTGTCTTTCTTCCTTCGACTTTCTGCCTCAAATGTACACACGACAGCTTAAACTCCAGCCACACCTCTGGACTCTGTGGTGACTTTAAGGTGGCAATCAGGTACTAAGGAGGGAGAGCAGAGGGAAGCGAGCGGAGACCCTGCAGAATGCTGCTAC